GCATTAGGTGTGGCGCTGTGGGTTAATGTTCCAGACTGCAAAGCCATTTGAACTGCAAGATCAGTGGTTCAAGCTCACTAGCTGCTCCTCGGAAACACTACACAGGGTCGCTAAGGGTTGGAACTGACTTGATGGCACTTTACAACAACAACAAAGGCATTAGGTAGAGTCCTAGTGGTAGCATTTGGGAAGCACACCCCCCAAAGAATGGCTGCAAATGATGGAAACAGAAAGAACCCTGGCAGCAGTGCATGCTGGGGACAGAGAAGGTAAAAGAAGGTCTCATGCCATTCTCACACATTTGCACTAACTATGATGTGGCAATATAGGATAAGAACTAGACTGCTAATCACAAGGTCGGCAGTTCAAACCCACCAGCGGCTCCTCAAAAACCCTATACGGGGTCGCTATGAGTCGGAAACAGCACTAAACAACAACAAATATGCCCAACTGGTACTGCAGGAAATGCAGTAGACTAGTAACTGCTCCTCAAAAATCCTATACAGGGTCGTTATGAGTCAAGACCGACTTGACTGTTCTAAAGAACACATAAGCTCAATAGATACATCAGAAATTGCAGCTTTGAGAAAAGATGTCCACCAGTTATACAAAGAACAGAACCAAAAGCAACTTAAATGTCCTCATCATGACTATACTAGGTCTCAAGATTGCTCTTAATATGAAGATGAATTCACAAGGGAAAAATAACCTGATGCCAATGAAAATATAATGTACTGCAAGGGTAATGGGAAGTCATTCTGAATAGCAAAAGTCTATCTCTAAAAATAATTTACTATGTTATTAAGTGCCATCGATTCAGTTTCAATGGACTAAATGGAGTATCAGTCTTCACGGCCCTAAGAGCAGAAGAACTAGATAGATGATACCTAGCTACCAACTGCTCTGAAAGAGCCCCTTACAGAGTGGGAGAAAATGTGTAACAAAGTTAAAAAAAAAAAAAAGGGTTGGGAAATATGGCAGAATGAAAACAGGAAACAGGGAGAAAGTGGAATAAGTGATGTTACACTATGGGGATTGTAATCACTGAGTTGAAATGAAGTGCATTCATCTCATTTCTCATCAGGCTCCATGCCATTAACCCTTAAATCAGTCTTCTACAAATTGCTGTGAACTATCGTTTAAAATGGACTCCTGGCATGGCACTCTAGGATCAGCACTGGACTTAGAACCACAAGGTTGGCAGTTCAAAACCACTAGCTGCTCCTCGGAACCCCTATATAGGGTTGCTGTGAGTTGGCATTGACTCAGTGGCACTTAACAACAACAACATAGTTAAAAATGAGCATATAAATTACATTTCAAACTGCTTTTTAAAGTATGCAAAAGATGTTGTAAGGCTATAAATATATCAAAATATTAATAGTGGCGGTGATGTTATACAGTAATTATTCAAGATGCTACCACAAGGGAAAACTGGGTGAAGCATACACAGGAGGATTTCTCTGCATTATTTGCTGCAATTGCACATGAATCTATAATACATCATAATAAAAGTTTTTTGTTTTTTTAAAAGTTAATGATGTAACTCTTTTAGAAGTGGAATTCTGGATTATTTTCCTTTAATTCACTTTAACTTTTCTAATTAAAAAAAATTATGATGATTGTATACTAATTTTAGAGTGCCAAGACCCATTAACTTAAAATTATGTGCAGTATTATAATTTCATATAATATATATGTAGTATCTTATGACTTACATAGTATATAAAATAAACACCAGAGCAAGTACGATCAAAGGTTAACCAGGGTCATTTTAAAAATGGGTACAAAGAAAGGTGAACCTTTCCCTTTAGAAATGAGGGATGTACACTGCCCTCCGAGAGGTAAACTACTGCAAGAATGGCATGGGAATAGCTTAAGACCTCCTCTGACTTCAAAGAGGGAAGGAGGATGATCTTGATATTAGCCCTAGGCCAATTGCTATAAGGGAGAGATCAGACATGCCTCCACTCTCCAACCTTCTTAACCAATTCTGATAATCATCCTTCCCATGGCACTCTGTTTCTCTGGTGGGTTTTATAATTTATTGCAGTGCCCACATGGAACTCACACACAATACTCACAATGATGGGGCTTATTTGGGAAGGTAACAGGTTATAAATGCTTAGGATGCAATTCTGGTCAGGAGCATCTCTTCTCAGCCATAGCCACAGGCATGCCTCTCTCTGGTTCTTGGACTCTCAGCCATAGTGCCTCTAGGGCAACGCTACCAAGTTCTTTTAGTACTAGTGATATATACCCAAAGGGCATGACACTCTATCATAAATCTCAACCCAAAGGTACTCAGGTATAACTCCATGGGTCAGTAAACCTAGCTCTTCCTATTAAGAGTCTGGAGGTACTTCACGCCACAAGCAAGTTTCTTGCCTGAAAGCACTCAACTCTACTTGCTCTGTGAGCTGGGAAGCCAACTGCTGTCTTGCGTTCTTGGTTCTGCTGCTGCCACTCCTCTGCTATCACTACACCTCCACCACTTCTCTGGTTCGCAGCCCTTTGTTTCCTGGATCTAGGGAGTTCAGAGCAGGGATTTCAGACTTCAAAGGACACATTCCACTCCTAGCTAGTTCTTGCTTAATGGTAGTAAGTAAGCCTCATTCCTGCTTCCTGGCTCATTTTATATCCAGCAGGATGGCAACACTGACAATCCCCTTGTTGTAGCTTCATATACCTTACTTGCAAGTTCCCACCCAGTCATTTAGTGGCAGTTACAAAGGCTATGGCTAGAAGAGTGTTATCAGGTAATTCACTGCACCAAAACTATGAAGCCAACATACAATGGATCTGCAGATAGAGATTAAAAAAACACACAACAAAAACCACCTGAAAGAGCTAAGTTAGATTCCTATTCAGACTAACTGAACTATTCCCTATACAACTATATTAATATAGCTACATAAAATTAGTTGATTCAACTTGGAATGATTGGGAAAAAGCAAACTACAGAAATAAATATTCTCTCTAGCATGGTATGAGAAAGAAAAAATTTAGTAAAAGTAATTCGAGTATCCTAACCTAAAGGCCCAGGGCACCCTCACATGGAGATGGATATATGGTCCTAGTCAATGGACTTGATATATTATGATCCTAGCAGCAAATACATCCCTGTTAAAGCATGATGCCAGTAAACACATGATTTATACTGTATTTATCAAACCTCTCTCATTCTGATTCCATGATCATAAAACAACCTTCTGATGATGACTCTGTTCCTTACCGAATTATACCTAAAGGATGAGAATATGCTGATAACAACAACTACAAACAGTCTAGTCCATGAGATGGGAACTTCTCATTATGACTTAATAAATAGGATTACTAGGGAAAATAATATACTAATTTAAAGGATTTTTCTTCCTAGAAATTAAGTTTATTGGTTAAGGACATGGGGTTTGGAATTAGAGAAATATAAGTTCAAGTCCAGTCTCTGACACCTGCCAGTTATGTGATGTCAGCCGTAAAATAATAATAATAATACTTATTTTGTAAAATCATTGAGATTAAATGAAACAATACATGGCAAAGTACTTAACACAGTGTTTGGCACAGAATAGGTGCCCAATAAATATTGGTTCAGGAAGCAAAATTAATATATGTGATTAACAGGTGGTTCTTCTATAAATGTAATTTAAGTGAGCTCAGTTCATGTACATCTTCCTCCAAAAGAAAGATCAATCTGAGCATGTTAGGAAAAAAATCAGGATTTTGGACTTGCCTAACTTGAAGACCAGACTCTTCTGGACTCCGGTGAACCCTCTAAGTAATTTCTGCTATTCTGTAAGAAGGTTTAGGGGAAAGACTGCCAGCCTTTTTTCTAATGACTCTGCAGCATGAGGCAAAGAAATTAAAGACATAATTGTATAGAGTTTTCTCTAGGCAGTTTTTTCTTTTCTATAATTTTCAATAGTGTAGTGGTTACGAATCGGACAGCAAACCACAAGGTCAGCAGTTCGAAACTACCAGCTGTTCCATGGGAGAAAGATGAGCTTTCTGCTCCTGTAAAGACTTACAGCCTTGGAAACCCTATATAAGGCCGCTATGAGTTGGTTCCAGACTCCACGGCACATAACCACCACCACTATAATTTTCAATACAAAAGAATGTTGCCTTTTTTATTGCCTATGTCATATTTTAAAACAGTTTAAAAATATTTGGGCTAAATAAAAAGAAACACATAAAAGGCAAGCATGAGATTAAGCACTAAAATGTATTGCAAAAAAGGTTATGGACTTGGTAAAGGTAAAGGGGAAATTTGCTCGTAAAATTTCTAGAAGACTTCTAAAGTACATATGATCCCTTATGGATCCACAGTATCTATATGACAAAAATATGGCAAGGTCCTAGAAGAAGCACAGCCATTATTAGTAGTAAGATGTATGACAGCGATTATTTCCAAGGCCCTCATTGAAGAGTATTTCTTCTGGCCTTTTTCAGTAAGTCAGTGTGGCATAATGCCAGAACACAGACTAAAATGTAAAATCTGGACCAATTCAAAGGGGTTATTTTTCTGAGTTACAATAACAAAACTAAGTAAGAGCAAAACCTCCTTAGAAATTAATTGCTTCTATAGTCACAAAGAACACACTCTATGAATGGTCTGAGCTGTATTTGGATGTGACACATTTTTCCTCAAAATAACACATCAATCAGAAATACCTAAAGACAGTGCAAGGAAAATAAGTATAAACTGAAGAAAAAAAAAAAAAGAGGACTTTTCAGGCAACTTATTTTTCTTTAGCCAAATGTAAAGAATTTATTAAGAAAGAATAAAAAGACAACCTTCTTACTGGTAAAAGGAAACGACAACCTTCTTTACCAGAATTAACTAAGCACTCACATTACTTGTCTAGCTTAAATTACAAAATGATTTAAAAGAAGCAGCAGCAGCAACTACACTGTCACAAGATCAGTTCTATATTTTGGAAAAAATACATAAATTAGTTATCTTTATTTTCCTATATAAAATAAGGACAAAATCGTACCTTGCGAGTCCTCTTTCATGGTAACTGCAGCTGGGAGTTCATCTAAGAAGAAATCTGGTAACAAAGGATGGCCTGAAAAATGAACCCCAAAATAATCAGGAAATGTGACACCTACAATGTATTAAAATACAGTGTACTTGTTTACAAAACAACACTTTATCTGTTTTTATTTTAATGATCATCTGAGTGCAAAGGAAAACTCCCATAAGAACTTCCAAGCGATCCAATCTTCATCAAGTTACCTTTCCTCTAAGCCAGTTACCCTTGCCTATGATAAATTTCAACTTCAAGATCAAACTAAAGTCACCTGATGTAGAGCCTTAACTGCTGTCCTAGGAGTCTTTGCTCCCACTCACCTTTCCTAGCAACCGTCTGTCCTATATTTCTCCATTGTGCTCAGAACTCATTTCTAACCTTGCTTCCTGAAAGAAGAGGTTAGTCATTAAGAAGGATCACTGTCTCCATATGATAAGCACTAGACTACAAACCAAAAGGTCCACAGTTTGAGCCCACCAGTAGCTCCAAGGGGGAAAGATCTGAAGCCTCGGAAACCCTATACAGGGTCGCTAGTTGGTACTGACTCTATGACACTTAGTAGCAACAAGTTGTCTCTCAACATCAGTGTATTTATCTTTTCTCCCTTTTCTTCTCACTCCATCACCACTAACAGTAGGAATTAAAAAACAAGTTAACTATTGTAAATTACACAGATACCCGTATGCGGTATGTCACAAGGCCTTCAAAACTGTAGCAGAGTTAGTTACTAACAATCTTCCTCCTTGCTCTCAAAGATTAAAAACATTTCTTGAAGATAAGAATACAATGATCTTTGTTGTATCCTAACACTCATCAAAATTCCCGGTCATGTTACATCCTCAACACTGGGTAGGATTTTTAATTTACATCAAATTTTAAATGTTTTTCACGATAATAATCGTGTCTTTTAAATCTAAAGTGATAATTACACTGTACTACAATCCAGAAGACCTAGCTAGGTCTGGCTCATGTTCTGTCTGCTGTCTACTCTTAGGCTAAGGCTCAATCCCTCTGAGCATTTTTTTCTCTTATAAATACTAACTACTGAATATTCAGAGTGCACTCTATATCAGACACTGTGCCAAGCACCTTATATAAATGTTGTTGTTGCTGTTAAGTGCCTCTGAGTTAGTTCCGACTCATAGTGACCTTATATAGGGTTTCAAGGAGCAGCTGGTGGGTTTGGACTGCCAACCTTGTGGTTCACAGTGCAGTGCAGATCCTACAGCACCACACCAGGAATCCATACATAAACATTATTGTACTTTATTTATTTATTACATTCTTTATAAAGGTCATTATTCCCTTAACATTATCAATAAGGAAAATGAAGTTCAGAAAGTGAGCAACATGCCCAAAGCCAAAAGCTAGTGAATAGAAGAGCCAGGAGGAGCCCTGGTGTGGGGCTGCAAGATAAGCACTGGACTGAGAACAACAAAGTAGGCAGTCAAACCCACCAGTTGCTCTCAGAAACCCTACACAGGGTCCCTATGAGTAGGACCCGACTTGAGAGCACTCAACATACACACAGAGCAGAGTTAGAATCTCAATCTGAGTTGTCACCAAAATCCCACATTCTTTATCGATAGACAATAGTACATTCCTCATAGGATGACTGAGAAAGTTAAATAGATCATGTATATACACTTTGGCAAATTGTAAAAGCTTTTAATTCAACTCAGTTTGAATTGAACAGGCAAAGATGATACAAATGTAAATGTTGCTTTAATTACTTAGAAGCTCAGTTTAATGAATATTTCAATACATATCAATATAAATAAGCATAACTCCCATTTATGTCTACCATTTTGTCTATATTATCTATTATTTATTGTTGTTAAGTGCCTTTGAGTCGGTTTTGACTTGAACCACTGACCTTGCAGTTCAAACTGACTTTGCAGTCCAGCACCACACCAGGACTCCTTAACACCTACAGCACTTGGTATTCCCATGTGGTCTCCCATCCAAGTACTAAACAGGCCCAATCCTGCTTAGCTTCTGTGATCAGATGAGACGGGGTACATTCAGGGTGGTATGGCTATAGACATAATTTATTACGTACTATATAATAGTCCTCAGAAACCCTATATAGGGTTGCTATGGGTCGGAACTGACTCGACAGAACTTAACAACAACAACAATATTTTGAACTTCTAGTTTGGCGCTGCCAGACTCATGGTGTGGCACTGTGGGTTAACGCGCTGGACTGCAAAGTCAGTTTGAACCACAAGTTTGATGGTTAAAGCTCACCCATCGCTCCTTGGAAACCCTACACACGGTCACTATGAGTTGGGACCAACTCTATGGCACTCAACAACAACAAGAATAGCAGTGTAGCGCTATAGGAACAGCACTGAAGTGCAAACAAGGTGAGCAGTCCAAACCCACCAGTTGCTCCTCAGAAACCCTACGCAGAGTAGCTATGAGTCAGAACTTAGTTGATGGTACTTAACAATAACAACAACATATAATATTTTAGAGTCCTGGTACGGTGCTGCAGAATAAGCACTGGACTGCTAACAGCAAGGTCGGCAGTTCAAACCCACCATCTGTTCTTTGGAAATACTATACAAGGTTTCTATGAGTCCAAATAGACTAGACTTAACAATAAATAATTTTTTAGAGGACCTCCTATGGCACTGTAAGATAAGCAGTGGACTGATAACCCAGGAGTGGTTTCCAAGGAGTGATTTGGTGGGTTTAAACTGCCGACCTTAGGGTTAGCAAACCCAGGTTGTTATATTTTATAAAGTAACTATCCTTTATCACCATTGTTGTTGTTGTTGTTAAGTGCCGTGGAGTCCGTTCCGACTCATAGCGACCCTGTACAGGGCTTCCGAGGCTGTAAATCTTTACGGGAGCAGAACGCCTCATCTTTCTCCCGCGGAACCGCTGGTAGTTTCGAACTGCTGACCTTGCGGTTCACAGCCCGATTCGTAACCACTATGCTACAATTTCATAAGGAAGGGGTAACTTTTGAACTTCTTAAATCACACATAAATCAAACATAAACAAACCCTACATGAGATAAGCAATATACATTCACCTTTACCAACTGTCATTAGCAACTTTAGGAGATTACACTCAAACAATGGGAAAAAACCTTTCATCCTAAAAGGATTTTTTGTCTTCTTTTTAACTCTCTTATGAATCATTTCTTCAAATAAAATCTTTACTCAGTGACTTTTAAGACCAACATTAAACACTAAAATTTTCATTTTTGGTTTCGGAATTTGGAAATGACCAGTAGTTGATGTGACCTTTGGCATCTGTTTTTTGTTGTTGGCTATCATGGAGGCAGTTCTGACTCATAGCTACCCTGCACAGGGTTTCTGAGGCTTTCCACCTTAGTGGGTCCAGAATGTCTCATCTTTATCTTGTGGAGTGGCTGGCGGGCTCGAACTACAGACCTGTGGTCACAGTCCAGTGTTTATTATATGGAGCCACCGTACAACACTTTAAAAGTCTTCAACAATATTGTTGTTTATGCTTTTGTGTTTGTTTTTTTTCCCCCTTGTCCTCTATTCTAAGTAAGATTACAACACAAACACAAACAAAGTAAGTATGTATTCATGCAGAACATTTTATAAAATCACATAACCACCTTAAAAAATATATAAGCATTACCTGGTTTAATTGCATAGACATCAAAATTTTGTATTCCTTCTTCTTTTAAGATATTTTCATCGATAATAAAGTTGCCAGTAAAGTTTTTTGACTTTTTGAAAATGGAGTATGCAGCATCTGCAATGATATCAACTTTTCTACATTGGCTTTCAATACCAGATCCTCCCAGCATATCCATCGCTGCAGTGTGTATGGCTGTAAATAAAACACAAACACAATTCCAAATCAAAAAATAGGGTTATGGAAGGAACAAGTAAGCATGACCTGCCACAATTTTCAACTCTAATCTCTTCCATCTCTCAGGTGATAAAAACAAAGTCCAGAGAACTTCAGAAAATTGTCAAATGTTTTACAGACAGAACTATGTAAAGAACACATTCCTTCTTCTACATAACACCGCCTTATAAAGAACGCTGGTGAGGTGCTGTGACTTCATGCACTGGACTGCAAAATTGGTTTGCAACATGCGGGTTCTCCGTACCCTATCAAACCATTATTTTAAACCACCATATACAGAAATAACACAGTTCTGTCTAAACATGAAAAGTTTAAACTTTTTTAAAGCCACTTTTTAAAAATGCTTGTTTTCCATCCTTGCAACAACTATTTGTTGTGTGCGTATTCTACATCAGGCACTCTACTAGGTATGAGGGATAAAGGAGTGTGAACCAAAGAAATAAAAAGCAGAAGCACCTTCATGGAGCTTTCAATCTACTGAAAATTCCTCTTTCAAAGAATGCTCAATTAACTCAGAAAATGTCCTAAACGGACTGAGTTAGGAAACACTTGTCTTCTTTGCAATTGAACTTTCTTTACTAAGAATAGTTGTTTTTTAAAAACTTAACCAACAGTTCAAGAGCTTGGGTCACACTCGTAAAGTGAAGCCTTACTAAGAAAATACAGCAGTTAACTTTCATTAAGTATAGCTTGTGCTGGGCCTATTAATACTATACATATAGTATCAAATTCTTAGAATCTACAAGGTAGGTACTACTATTATTCCCATTTTAAACATGAAAGCACTCTGGCACAGAGAGGTTAAGTAACTTGTCCAAGAACACAGGAGCTGGAGTACAGAAAGCCTGATCTAAGAGTCAAGCCCTTAGCCATGATATGACTAAAGCTCAAACTTTTCTAGCCAAAGTTCTTGGGGTTTATAATCAATCATTCTATCTTCTCCATAACTGCAAAATTTTCTATAAATATTTCAAGATAATCTACATTGAGACTATATGCATACATATAAAGACATATCTCAATACAGGCTACAGGAGTATGAGAAACTTAAAAATTCTAAATTAGATGTTTAAAAAGAACTTGTCATGTTCATGACATAACAAGATAGGTTCTCCGAGGGGGTCAATAGCACTAGTGAAGTATGCATACCATGGAATGGTCAGCCATTCAAGATCAAAAGGGCAGCATCAGAACAGTTGGGAAAGAAGGTAGACAGGAAACAAGAATCACAGGGAGGAAGTGGGATAAGTGATGTTGCATTGAGAGTACTGCAATCAATGAAATGAAACAAGTAGATGATTTGTTGAAACTGATGATCTGCTCTGTAAACCTTCACTCAATTCACAATAAAAAGTTTAAAAGAAAGAAACAGTTCTCCCAAATAACCCTATCACTACTTTAAAAATATTTTTAAGAAAAATAAAACGCCAAAGAAGACAAAACAATGTACAGTTACCCTTATCAAAGATTTTGCAGTGCCAATAGGCTAACTCAGCAGGTTATAAAATGACCAGAAGAAAAACAGATTAGCAATAGAGTCAATCAAATGAAATTTATTGATGATTTTGGGGAAAGGATATAAACAGGATTTGTGATGAAAGCAGATATGCAACGAAAGCAGGTATGCCTTGGATCAAAAGAATCTTAAAAGTGACCCCAGAATTTAAGTCTTATTAAAGAATAATTTGAAGGGGTATCAAAAACTTATTATTTCTCCTGCTCAAACCAGTCACAAGAATCTTAAAAATCAATCGGAGAGCTTCTATAACATAAACATATGGAGTTCATGTTGTTGTTGTTATATGTCGTGGAGTCGGTTCCGACCCATAGTGACCCTGTACAGGGTTTCCAAGGCTATAAATCTTTACGGGAGCAGAATGCCTCATCTTTCTCCTGTGGAATAGCTGATAGTTTCGAACTGCTGACCTTGCGGTTCACAGCCCGATTCGTAACCACTACGCTACCAGAGCTACCCAGGCTTAAAATATCACCTACCTTTACTCTGTCTCTTGAGAGGGAGCTTGCTTACCTCTTTAACACCTACCAGTCCCGCCAACCACACACAAATACTCAAATTATATTTCAATAAATTTAAGATATCACCATATAAAAAGTTTATCTCACTATGATTTGACGGTACTTAACAAGAAAGAAAAAAAGCTGCCAATTAAACTATGATATATCATCAGTTATAACATGCATCTTGCTTTCAAGAGATGTAAATATGAGAACAAACACAGGTTATCTTAGAACAATGATCTGTGGTATAAGCTGCAAGTTAAACCTAGTTAGGAAGCCCCCTACAAAACAAGAAAACTAGTTTTGGTTTCTAGCACAAGAAAGAGGAGGAGATCAGCAACCACCATTGTCTCCTTTTCATCACTAGCTAGTTGACTTCTCACATTTCTGTGAAGTATGGGTCTTTTACTGTACTTCTAAGGAGCTCTGGTAGTGTAGTCGTTACAAATCAGGCTGCGAACCGTAAGGTCAGAAGTTCGAAACTACCAGCTGTTCTGTGGAACAAAGATGAGGCTTTCTGCTCCCATAAAGATTAACAGCCTCAGAAACCCTGTATAGGGTTGCTATGAGTCAGAACCGACTCCACAGCACACTACGACAATGACAAAGACAACTGTACTTCTGCAAGGCCAGCAGTTCAGAGTCCACAGCAAGCCAACTACAACAGCCACTCCTCAGAAACCCTATACAAACTTGCTATGAATCGGAGCAGACACAATAGCACTTAACAACAGACATTACAAGGGAGAAAGATGAGGCTTTCTGCTCCTATAAATATTTACAGAAGTCCTGGTGTGGCGCTGAGGATTAATGCATTGGACTGCAAGGCCAGTTTGAACCACAAGGTCGGCAGTTCAAGCTCACCAGCGACTCCTGGGAAACTCTATACAGGGTGGCTATGAGTTGGAACTGATTCGAAGGCACTTAACAACAAAGATTTATAGCCTCAGAAACTCTATATACAGTGTCATTATAACTCAGAATCATTCAATAGCACACCACCATGACCACCACCACCACAGTACTTTCATTATCTTCCTCTCTGCTGCCATTACCAAAAGCAACAGCTGACACTGCCAGACTCCCCATACCCAGCCTACCTAAAAGACACCCAAAAGTGAATTCTCTTACTTCAACCACACTTGATCAGACCAATAAAGATTTATGAAGCAGTAGGCATTTTGAGTTCTGGCATGGTACTGTAGGATAGGCACTGGACTGCAAACGACAAGGTTGAAAGTTCAAACATAGCAGCCACTTCTCAGAAACTCTATACAAGGTCACCATGAGTTGGATCTGACTCAATGGCACTTAACATAAACACCACCAACAAAGTTAGTAAAATAGTAATGTCAGCCCTTTTCTCCTTCCCACCCTCTGTTTCCTCTGTCAGTTTGTCACTGTGACTGTGGTGTCTTCTATGCTGCTGTGATGCTACAAGCCACATCCCAGTATTTTAAATACCAGTAGGTTCATCCTTGGTGGGTGGGTTTCAGCAGAGCTTCTAGACTAAGACAGGCTGGGAATAAGGAGAGGCAAAATCGCTTCTGAATGGTTAGTTACTGAAAACCTTACGAATAGCAGCAGAACATTGCCAGATATAGAACCAGGAGATAAGCCCTGCATGTTGGAAGGCACTCAAAATACAACTAAGAACTGCATCCTCAAAGTAGAGTTGACCTTAGTGGAGCAAAGCTTTTGAGATCTTTATCTGCTGGTATGGCACAAATCAAACTGGGAAGAAACAGCTGCAAACACCCAGTAATAGTCAGAACCCAGAATGTACAAAGTATGGATCTAGAAAAACTGGAAGCCATCAAAAATTATATTGAGGAGAACAAACAAGATGACTGATTGTGTGGAAGTGCAGTGAGGAGCTCCATCAGCAACAACACAGAATACCAGACCAAGCAGGCTCAGGGGATGGTGCCAGAGCTCTGAACCACATAGAAAGGAATATTTGGAAGGCTGGAAGGCTTACAGCTAGGGGAATTTGTAGCAAGAAGCCCATTGCTTTCTAATCCAAGATGCTCAGCTGCTCCCGGATCTGCCATCTTGGGCAAGACCAAGCGGGGGAAAGATCAGAGCA